GATTGTCTGTCCCGGGGACACAGAGATAGAATCCGGAGTCTGAGTCATCACAATCTCTCCACAGGATCCTGAGGATGGGAAGAGATATATTGATTATTGATCAATGTCTGGATATCTTCCTATCAATCCTGATGTGTGTATTTATTGTACAATGTATAGATGTATGTGCAGAGGAGGATGGAAGGAGCCTCATCTCTCACCCTGAATAGAAATGAAGATGACAGCCAGCAGATAACTGGGAGAAAGCATCTTGATGTTTGGAGGGTCAGATCCAAACTAGAAGACGTCTCCTGTACAATGAGATATATAGAGAGAGTGACAGGGGAGGTGTTCCCCCCCACACACTGTGTATGCAAATGGAGATGGAAATCCCGTGGCTGACTGTCACCAGCTCTAAATACAGATAAGGCTCACCTGGGCTCATATTTAGTACAATGTAAATACCAGGGAAGTTGATATATGCAAACCCCTGAAAACACATTTTAGTGGTTAAAGCTGAACTCCATCCAGGAGGAGTATGGTACTCAGGGTACTTACCTTCCTCATCAGTCATTCTTCTAACATAAATATATACAAATAATGTTACCTCGCAGCAATATTTAAATATAAATTCTCAAAAGTGAAAGCAACACAGTGTTTTTCTCCCACAAAAATAAACAATGATTATATAAATATAAAAGTGCTTAACCACTTGCTGACCTGCTTACAGCAAATATACTACAAGCAGGCAGCACATGCAGGCACAGCAAAGTACATGTTGCACATTTAAAAAAATTATTTTACATACTGGCACCATTCAGTATCCCCGCCACACCAGTTATATGATGACAGTGTACTGGTGATAGTATGTTAAAAAACTTGTGAAAAAATCCACAAATGTTATTTAATTTCTTCATTTTTCTAGGGCAGCAACTAACAATTATTTTCATAATCAATTAGTTGGCCGAATACCAATAAAAACACTCACATATACACTGAATGTAAAAGCTCAACTAATGAGGATCAGACTTCCTTGACAAAGCCAGGTGGGTTGGTGGCATAACGCGTGGGGCAAAGCTTAGTGACGTCATTTCCAGCATGGAGCCGTGGACCAGAAGTCCGGTCCTCATAAGTTGCATTTTTATAATCAGTGTATATGTGAGTGTTTTTATTATTACACTATTGGAGGCCATTTGTGTTTCCTTCCCTGGGGGTCCCGCAGTGGAGGGGAGGAAGTGGAGGTGACATTTTTGGAGCAGAGGTTATACTACTGATGGAGGAGATATACAGCGTGACCAGTTGCTGCCATCTAGAGTATACTTATGGAACTACAACTAAGCACTTGTATTTAACTTTATACTGTAGGTCCAGGTGTTCAGGTGAGCGGCCATCCTTACATGTGGTGGTGGTGTTTTTCACATGATTGATTCCAGATCACTGGAGTATATTCATTGGGTGAAGCACAGAATTAACTTGTTGGATCACTTATACATTATTTGTTATGAACTATTTAATGGACACTTTCATTTTTTGATTGTTTCATTAATATTCAGAGTATTTATATATTTTAGATGTTTTATTGAGTAGCGCAACACTATATCAACATATCTTGTTCTTGGGGGTGTGGGATCACTTATCAGTGGGTACAGCAACTATATTAGCTTGATTATTATTTTTTATTTGGTATATTTGTTTTTGGTAGCCCACATTGTCACTGTTTTACACAAATACTATCAGTTCCTATTAATGCCGAACTCCATTCCTTTATTTTTATAGATTTTAATAAAGTGGTGAAAAATAGAACTTGTACTGTTTTTTTTAGCTACATGAATTAGGAGATTTCTACTCATCTGAACTCTCTGTGATTTTGGAAAAGAATGGAACTCGGGTCATTGGGACAGGAAGGATACTGAAAGCAGGGAAAACCTGCTAAAAAAGAGTTTTGTATACGTCTTCATTTGAGAGATTTCCCATGACTCCCTGTCATGTGACCCTATCACCGAAAGCGACTCCTAACTACCACCACTTGTTGTGGCACTGGCAGATTCTTAATGATCTGCAGATTGGGAAAATGGCGGTAGTTAACCGATCCCCGTCCGCCCTATAGCAGAAATACTGCTACAGGGCAGCACGGGTGCATAAAATTATATATATATATATATGTGTAATTTTTCACTTCTGGGTAGGGGACGCGCCGCCATTCGCGACCTCGGCTGTCAATCACCGGGTCCCAATCGGTGATTACTCGCCGGCAACCAGTGATCGCTGGGTATTACCGATGGGGGAGAGAACTGTATGTAAACTATACAGTTCTCTCCCCTGTCAGCTCCTGCACACTGCTTTTGTATGGCTCTGCAAAAGCCATACAAAGCAGTGTGCTTACAGTTGAAAGCACACACACAGCACATAATGTGAAACAGCACACAGTTAACCCTTTGATCGCCCCAGATGTTAACCCCTTCCTGCCTAGTGCCATTAGTACAGTGTCAGTGCTTTTTATTAGCAATGATCACTGTATTGGTGTCCAAGGGGATTTCAGTTCCCCCCAGTGTCAGAATGCCCACCGCAGTCCCGCTGTAAGTCGCTAATCACCGCCATTACTAGTAAAAAAAAAAAAATCCTTATCTATATCCCGCCATTTGTAGATGCTCTAACTTTCACGTAAACCAATTAATTTACACGTATTGGGATTTTTTTTTTAGCAAAGACATGTAGCAGAATACATTTTGCCCTACATGTATGATGAAATTAGATTTTTTTATTGGACATATTTAATAACAAAAAGTAAAAAAAATATTATTTTTTTTTAAACGTTGTCGGTCTTTTTTTTGTTTATAGCGCAAAAAAAAAAAAAAAAAAGAGGTGATCAAATACCACCGAAAGAAAGTTCTATTTGTGGGAAAAGAAGGACATAAAGTTAATTTGGGTGCAGCGTTGCATGACCGCACGCAATTGTCAGTTAAAGTAACGCAGCGCCTGTAACGCAAAAAATGGCCTGGTCAGGAAGGGGGGGTAAATCCTCTGGAGGGCAAGGGGTTAATTTTTCTTGGCTTTCTTTCTTTTTATTTTACCTGGTGATTTAGCCAGCAACTCTGCTGTTTTTCAGAAGTTCAAGCTCTCTTCAGCTTACATGGATGAGACCATCTATTTATCCCTGGCAGGGGCGATTAAAATAGTCAGCTTTTATTTATTTATGTAAAGCCTTTATTCCAAAAGCAAAAAAAATATGTTTGCTGTAACTGATTATAAAGTGTAAATGGGAGCTTGGCTTCAATTTGTTATTTGTATTCAAATCTGCTAATACATTTAACACTACCATCCCCTCCAGACTGATAATGGTTCTGTCTGCTGTGTCCTGGTTCACTCCTCCCGATTGGTGTCTCACTAATACAGGAGGTGTGTTACTGGCCAGATCACCAAGTAAAAACAGAGAAAAAAAGTGAAAGAAAAGAAAACTGATGAAGTCACCACATCTAATGATTGGTAAGCTGCAATATAATACATTTTGGGTTTTGAGTTTAACCACTTCCCGTCCAGCCGTTGTATATAAATGGCCGGATGTGTGGCCGTTTATAAATGTCCTCCCCGCAACCTGCTTGTGCACACTCCCTGGGAGTGCGCAGCACCACAATCCGGTGCCCGCTGTGTCCTCCAGACACAGTGGAACACCGATCGTCGGACGGGACCTCTGTCGAGGTCCCGATCATGTGATCACTGATTGGCCAATCAGTGATCACATGCAGAGTAGTAAGCAAGATGTCACTTGTGACATCATTGCTTACTACGTGTGAAATCCGTGAATGATCACAGAGGTCACATGGTACAAGGCTATTCACAACAGCCTTGTACCATGTGACAAGCTGTGACCAATCACAGCTCACACAGTAGTTCTCAATGGCTGCAAGAATGCAGCCAGAGAGAAGGAGAGATGATTGCTTTTACAGCCTTTATGGGTGTAAAAGCAATCAGTGTAAAAAAAAAAAAAAATCTTCATCACCCCCACAAGTAGTACAGTGTCACCATGGTGACACTGTACTGCTAGGGTGACAGTATGTAAAAAAATATATATATATATATAAATAATAATATAAAAGAATAAAAAAATGTAAAAAAAAAAAAGTTTAAAAATTATAATTTTTGGTTATAAACTAATTTGGTTTTTTTTTTGCTAAAAGGATAACGGAATAAACTTTGGCCAAAGATTTATAAGGAAATACTATTTATTTTGCAAAATGTTATAAAAAAAAACACTTTTTTTTCAAAATTTTTGGACTTTTTCATTTACATAGCAAAAAAATAAAAAATCCAGTGGTGAATAAATACCACCTAAAATAAAGCTTTTATCTTGCTCAAAAAAATGCTAAAAAATTCATATGGGTACAGTGTTGCATGACCGCGCAATTGTCATTCAGAGTGTGATAGCACTGAAAGCTGAAAACTGGCCTGGACAGGAAGGGGGTAAAAGTGTCCGGACTGAAATGGTTAATGGCACTTTAACCATAATCAAGCCTCAAATGGCTTGTCCAAGTCAATCTTCCAAGTATGCTTTTTCACGTATTACTCTAATGGTTAATGTTCTCCAGATCAGGAAAAGATAAAAGAAAAGACTGTACTTGTTCTTTAACCACTTGCCTACCGGGAACTTATACCCCTTCTTTTCCAGGCCAATTTTCAGCTTTCAGCGCTGTCGCACTTTGACAATTGTGCGGTCATGCAAGATTTACTTTTTGTGCTATAAAAAAAAAATTGCAAAAAAATTTGAAAAAAAAAAAAAGTTTCTTTGTTTCTATTATAAAAATGTTTCAAACAGATAATTTTTCTCCTTCACTGATGTGCGTTGATGAGGCAGCACTGATGGGCACTGATAGGCGGCTCTGATGGGCACTGATAGGCGGCACTGATAGGCAGCACTGAAGGGCACTGATAGGCAGCACTGATAGGCAGCACTAATGAGGTGGCACGGATAGGCGGCACTGATAGGCGACACTGATGATGGGTACTGATAGACAGCTTTGATAGGTGGCACTGACTGGCATCACTGCTGGCAACTGACTGGCGGCACTGCTGGGCACTGACTGGCACAACTGCTGGGAACTGACTGGTGCCACTGACTGGCAGCACTGCTGGGCTGCACTGATGGGCACAGGTGGGTGGCACTGGTGGGCACAGGTGGGTGGCAATGCTGGGCACAGGTAGGTGGCACTTCTTGGCACACTTGTGTGACACTGCTGGGTGGCACAAGTGGGTGCACTGCTGGGCACAGGTGGGTGCACTGCTGGGCACAGGTGGGCGGAGTTAGTGGGCGCACTGCTGGGCACAGGTGGGCGGAACGTGTGGGTGGCACTGCTAGGCACCGATCATCAGGGCACTGATCATCAGTGCCCTGATGATCAGTGCCGATCCCTGCTCTGTCAACTGCCGGTTCTCGTCAGTACTTTCCTCACGATCTGACAGTGTGAGGAAAGTGCAGCCGAGAACCGGCAATTGCATTTCCCGGTGATCAGCGTGTCATTGGACACGACTGATCACGTGGTAAAAAGGCCGCTGTGATTGGCCTTTTACAACATCACGTGATCAGCTGTGTCCGTAGGACACAGCGATCACGGAGATCGCCGGTGCGCGCCCAGAACTGGGCCGGACCGCAGTGCAGCTGTCATCGGGGCTATCTGCGGTCGGCACGGCAAGTAGTTAAATCAGATTAGCCTGTCTCTGTAGATGTAAAAGAGGAAGGAGGTTTTTGTACAGCCGTGTATCACTGTGTATGGGTTATGACCTGTTTGCAGACAGTAATAATCTGCTGCATCTTCTTCATCTATACCATTAATTGTTAATTTGAAATCAGTTGAAAAACCAGATCCACTGAATCGGGCTGGAGCCGCAGAGTGACGATTGCTTGCCTGATAGACAAGAATTTTAGGCGGTTGTCCTGGTTTCTTTTGGTACCAATGCAAACTGTCACCAAGATAACGACTGGCTGTACATGAGATGGTGACTGTACCTCCTGGGTTTGCAGTGATAGAACTTGGAGACTGAGTCATCTGTACAACCTGTGCTAAAGAACCTGGGGAGGAATATAAAGAAAATAGCCATTGTTAATGAATATGAATCATTACTGTCTAATGCTGTCTGCAGATCTTTATGTAACATCATAAATCTCTCACCCCGAATATAAAGCAGTATGAGAGGCAGCAGAACCCCCTGAGAAGCCATCCTGATGTCCTCTGCACTGACACACACAGACTACTGAGATGTCACCGGTACAATGTCTCCTATATAACAGCTGAAGTCTTCACACATCATACATGTAAAACAGGAAATATGCAAATTCTATTATAATTATATTTAGAAAATGGCTCGTGTCTAGTGATTCTTTTGTTTTTTTTGCCATGTAGTGCCTTTGAAAAAGTATTCATACCCCTAGAAATTTTCCACATTTTGTCATGTTACAACCAAAAACATAAATGTATTTTATTGGGATTTTATGTGATAGACCAACACAAAGTGGCACATAATTGTGAAGTAGAAGAAAAATGATACGTTTTTCAAAACGTTTTACAAATGAATATGTGAAAAGTGTGGCATACATTTGTATTCAGCCCCCTTCACTACTATACCCCTAACTAAAATCTAGTGGAACCAATTGCCTTCAGAAGTCACCTAATTAGTAAACAGAGTCTGCTTGTGTGTAATTTAATCTCAGTATAAATACAGCTGTTCTGTGAAGCCCTCAGAGGTTTGTTAGAGAACATTAGTGAACAAACAGCATCATGAAGGCCAAGGAACACACCAGACAGGTCAGGCATTAAATTGGTGGAGAGGTTTAACCACTTGACCTCCTGAGAATTTAACCCCCCCACTTCCTGACCAGGCCGTTTTTTTTTTGTGGTACGGCACTGCGTTACTTTAACTGACAATTGCCCGGTCATGCAACGCTGCACCCAAATAAAACTTATGTCATTTTTTCCCACAAATTGAGTTTTGTTTTGGTGGTATTTGATCGCCTGTGCATTTTTTAATTTTTTGTGCTAGAAAAAAAAGACCCACAATTTTGAGAAAAAAAACAATATTTTTTTACTTTTTGCTATTAAACATGCCCAGTAAAAAAATGTTAAAAAATCAAATTTTGTCATAAATTTAGGGCAAAATGTATTCTGTGACATGTCTTTGCTAAATAAAAATCTCCCAATGCATGTAAAATTAATTGTTTACTTTTTTTTTTTTTTCTTTTCTTTATGTGTAAGTTATAGCATTTACAAATTATTCATATATATATTATTTTCACTAGTAATGGCGGCGATCAGCAACTTATAGTGGGACTTCGGCGGGCATTCTGACACTGGGGGGGAACTAACTAGGTGTCACTGACATCCCCAGTGACACCAATACAGTACTCAGTGCTAAAAAAACAGCACTGACACTGTACTAATGGCACTGGGCAGGAGGGGCTTAACATGAAGGGTGATCAAAGGGTTAACTGTGTACTGTTTCAAGCTGTCCTGTGTCTGTGTGCTTAACTGTAAGCACACTGCTTTGGATGGCTGTGCTGTGCAGTGTGGGAGGGAGGAGAAAACTGTATTGTTTACATACAGTTCTTCTCCCCATCGGAGGTCCTCAACAATCACCGGGTGCCGGCGAGTAATCACCAGCTGGGACCCAAAGACGTGGCCAATACTTACAGTGAAGCACACAGACACAGCCCCATAGTAAAACACACCCAGTACATAGTAGTTACAGTGTCAGTGCTTTTTATTAGCACTGATCACTGTATTGGCCACGTCTTTGGGTCCCAGCTGGTGATTACTCGCCGGCGCCCGGTGATGGTCGAGGACTTCCGATGCACAGCTTTGCATGACTGTGCTGTGCATGAGCTGACAAGGAGGAGAACTGTTTTGTTTGCTAGCAGTTCTCCCCCCCCGTCAGAGATCCTTGGCCAACATTCGGCCCGTGTGTACAGCAGACTGTCCAACTGAAGCCGGTCTAACATCAGCCTTCTGCCAAACAGGCATGCTGGAAAACTGATAACTTCAGTGATACTATTAGGCCAACAGACTGGGGGGGGGGGGGGCAGCCAGGCAGTTTCATGTTACATTGATCATGGATCCGAGCTTGCCCAATACTGTACATAAATAACATTTCCCTGGGCCTCATTATTTCATCAGAGGGGCCCAGGAGGTAGTAGCAGAGCAGGAATTATTTTCTTAATTTTGGCAGATGTCCATCAATGCATTTGCCGATGTTAATTTTAAAGTTCCATCCCCCCAGCCTGTCTCCCTGGAGGAAAGATATGCTATGCAGTTTGTCAATAGATACCCAGCAGCCTGCATTACTCTCTCAGGAAGTCCTGAAGGCAGAGGGCAAGGCTGAAGCTGATGGTGAATGAGACTTTGAGGACTGCTAAGAAGAGATACGTGGCAGGCACAGTGTCAGTGTACAGGGAACCCGGTGGCGGGCAAAAGTGCACATAGGCCACCATAGTACTTTTTAAAGGCAATGGGGTTCCCTACCCAGGTACACATACAGTGTAAGACACAGCACACAAGAGTATCATTCATGGCTGAACAAATCTTTTCAGATGTGGCTTTGCCCTATCCTGCCCTGTTGTCCGGATGTGACCACTGTCCCACTCTTCCCCAACAGCATCACAGAAGTGAGCATCCTCTCCATTCAAAACCTCTGAACATGCACAGTGCTCTCTTTTTTTTCCTCTCCATAACAACAGCTGAACTCGGTGGTCCAGCAAGACAGAAAGAAAGAGCATCCTGCGCATGCATGGAGAATGCTCACTCCTGTGATGTTGGGAGGAAGAGTCCAACAAATGCAACATTCTGCAATAGGATAGGTTGGGGCAAAGCCAACTGTGTTTCAGGCAGCACAGTGGCTAAATGGTTGGCACTTCCACCTGGCAGTACTAGGGTCATTGGTTCAAATCCCATCCATGGCACCACCTGCCTGGAGCTTGCATGTTCTCCTTGCATTTGTTTCCTCCGGGTACTCCAGTTTCCTCCCACACTCCAAAGACAAGCTAGTAGGTTAATTGGCTCCTGTTTAAATTGGCCCTAGTATGTGTATGTATGAATGTAAGTTAGGGATCCAATGGCTTTTAGAAATATTTCTCTTTCATTCGCTTTCCAATGAGAAGATCAGGGATCACATTTTGCAGCATTTATAAATTCCTGGTTGTGCTATTGCCTGCACTCCATATCATCTCTATACCTCTGGATTTTATTGTTTATTTTATTTTTAATTGCCCTCCAGAGGAGTTACACCACTTCCTGACCAGACCATTTTTTGTGTTACGGCGCTGCATTATTTTGATTGGCAATGCACCCAAATTAAATTTACGTCCTTTTTTTCACTAGAAATGGCGGCGATCTTTTTTTTTCACAAATAGACCTTTCTTTTGGTGGTATTTGATTGTCTGTGAGCTTTTCACTTTTTGCGCTATACAAAAAAAAAGGCTGACAATTTTGAGAAAAAAACAATATTTTTTACTTTTTGCTATTAAACATGTCCAGTAAAAAATTTCAAAAATCAAATTTCATCATAAATGTAGACCAAAATGTATTCTGCTACATGTCTTTGCGTTTACAAATGGCAGTATATATATACTGGGATTTTTATAATTTTTTTGACTTGATGCTATACTCTGATTCAAAAGTGTTCCTTTAATTTTTTTTTGAGTAGTGTATTTTATCATGTGATTGCTATGATTGATCATAGCAGTCACACGATACCCTGGCCAGTCACAGTGGTTGAGTAACGAGCACCATGAGGTGGACACAGCTTATATAGCGCCGTCAAATTTATGCAGCACTTTACATATGTTTTGTACATTCACATCAGTCCCTAACCCTCAAGGGGTGTACAATCTAACTTACATTCATATACTAGGGCCAATTAACCTACCAGCATGTCTTTGGAGTGTGGGAGGAAACTGGAGTAACCGGAGGAAACCCACGCAGACACAGGGAGAACACGCAAACTCCAGGCAGGTGGTGCCGTGGCTGGGATTTAAACCAACAACCCTAGTACTGCCAGGTGGAAGAGCTAACCATTTAGCCACTGTGCTGCCCTACAGCTGACAGGCTTTCAGGAGCAATACTGCCACCTCTTGAATATCTATTTATTTATTTCTTTTTTACAGCTTTTGAATGGTAAGACTGTGCCGCAACCACAAGCCTAGCAGTGTGGCCTCATCCATTTGAATATGTTGTGTTTGGCTGTGATTGTGCCCACTGAATGTGACAGGGGGATATTTATTGCCATGACGTAGCATAAGAAGGGTAGTTGGGGGGGGCCAGTAAAAAAGCAGTCTATTTTATCACACCATTTTTTAATATTAATATAAATGCTTCATATACAATTTCTTTTTTTTATAATGTATTATATCCCAGGCTAAAATAATGTTTAATTACATGAATATAACCAGAAAGTGGAGCTCCGATCTCCTTTTCACATCATAAACATGACTACTTTTCATTGGTGTGAAA